AAGTCAAATAAAAATAGCTGGATTCGATATTTCTTTTGAAATGCCCGTCAACCTGAAGAAATTAAAATTAGAAAAATAGATACAAAACATCGAATACAAAGGCAGGGACGGTGGGGCAATGATTAGAAAATCGCCTATTTTCTACGAAAATTAGATACGACACGATAATGTCGTATGGAATACCTTGGAATTGCCATGACAAATTACTATCACATCTTTTTTTTTTACAAAGATTTGTGTCCTTCATTTCTCTCTCGCTAAACGGACTGGCATGACCCCGACGAAGTGTACGGTGGTAATAAATACTATATAATTGTCTTGTTTTTCAAAAAGTGAGTATTTATTGCTATTGCACTCGGGTAGTAGGTAAATGAGGTGAAGGCAAATATGTTCTCGTTATTCTTGGAACTGATTTTGTCCGTAACAGTCTTAGGTAAAAAGCTAGCCTATGCTTTGTTTCATGCATGGGCGTACCAGGTAGAAATAGGCCTATTACGAGCGAACTATACGCACTGCTCGCCCGCGTATGCGTGCGCGCGCGTGAGTGTCTGTGTGTGTGTGCGTGTGTGTGTGAAAGAGAGAGAGACAGAGAGAGAGACGTTTGCGTGTAAAGATCACGTGGACGCCATAATGAATTTGCCACTGTCAGAAATCTTATATAATGTTCAAGTAATGAGGTCATTACGCCCTTCATCCACGTGAAAGATATGTGGTCTGAGGCACGTGAAACTAACTGTAAGGAATCTGAGTTGAAAACAAGACAGTAATGCACAGCACATATTTCAACATTTTTTTAATCTCAGGGAAATTACCAAGGGGTGGATTAAGGGGAAAATCGGGGGTCCTGACCCCCTATTCGGTTTCTGAAAAAAAAAAGATTCTCCTCTCGAAATAAGAGTTTTTACTAGCATAGTTTTAACCCGTACCAAATGGCACCATTTGCACTGCAAAGCACCAAAATTTCCCGGGGCCCTTGAGCGAGCCCCGAACCCAACGCCAAAGGGACATGCAGCGGCTTTGCATCCCAGGCCTGGTCATCACCCCGCCCCCCCCCCAGATCCATTAGGAAACAAGCTTTAAATGGCAAATCAATAAAAATATATGATAACACTGACACAAAGAACAAATGTTCTATTGATTATAAAACGCTTAATAACACCACGATATACTAACGTTCGTAACATGACGAGTACCGTAACATCATTAGAACCATTGAAATGTATGTCATTGT